TACGCCATCATATGCTAGCAATGCCCCTCTGCTATGTACATCGGCCAAACTGGACAGTCCCTACGTAAAAGGATAAATGGGCACAAATCAGATATTAGGAATGGCAATATACAAAAACCTGTAGGAGAACACTTCAATCTCCCAGACACACAATAGCAGATTTAAAGGTAGATATCCTGCAGCAAAAAAACTTCAGGACCAGACTTCAAAGAGAAACTGCTGAGCTTCAGTTCATCTGCAAATTTGACACCATCAGCTCAGGATTAAACAAAGACTGTGAATAGCTAGCCAATACAAAAGCAGTTTCTCCTCCCTTGGTGTTCACACCTCAACTGCTAGAAGAGGGCCTCATCCTCCCTGATTGAACTAACCTCGTCATCTCTAGCCTGACTCACTCTTGCTTGCATATTTATACCTGCCTCTGGAAATTTCCACTACATGCATCCAACGAAGTGGGTATTCACCCACAAAAGCTCATGCTCCTATACGTCTGTTAGTCTATAAGGTGCTACAGGACTCTTTGCTGCTTTTATAGATCCAGACTAACACGGCTACCCCTCTGATAAGTAGTAGTAGTTTACAATACACCTGTAACCAACATGACATAACATAGCAGAGTCCGAGTGTGGCCTAAAACCATCTCTAACTGATCAGCCATTTAAACATCATTAATGTCTGACCCAGTGAACCATCATAACAGAAACATATCTTAGTCTGACACATTTATCAGTTTTCGTTAATTTCCTCAAAATGATAGTTAACATATTGTGGTAAGTTGAAGCATTTTAGTTAATTATTTTTAAAAGCAAAATAGAATATCGCCCCTCTGCCGCACAGTCTAGTCTTCTGGTCTCTGTAATTAGGTTGCTTACACTTTGTGGAACAATTTTAGCTTTTGTTTTAAAACTAGTCTTTCAATTTTACTTTCTTTCTAGATAAGAATAAATATGATGTAATTGTGATAGATCCACCATGGCAGAACAAGTCTGTTAAAAGAAGTAACCGGTAACTTTTTTGTAAATTTATATATTTCCTGTTTTGTTTTTTGTTGTTGTTTTTTTTTTTAAATCCGCCAAACCCCACATTTGATTTTGTTCACGTGCTAGTGCAGCATTCCTGCAAAGTTCTGATTATGTGTTTGTTTTTGGTTTTTTTACCTCCACACACAGATGCAGTTGATAATGCAATCCAACACATTGATAACTGCTAGCTTTGGCCCCAATCTTGCAAACACTCTGACACTTACCTAACCTGAAGCATATTCGTATGTGAGTAATCTCATGGATTTCATTGAGACTAGTCAAATGCTTCAAATTAAGCATGTGCCAAAGGGCTTATAGGATTGGCACTTAAATTACTTTCCAGGAGAGCTTGAAGCCAATTTTATTGCAAAGCCCCAATCCTGCAAATACTTACGCATGTGCTCAATTTTAATACCATGAGTAATACCGTTTATTTCAAAGGAAAGTGCGTACACAAGTGTTTGCAGGACTGGGGCCCAATTTGGAAACTTCCGAATTTTTTTGTTGGAGGTTTGATTCTCTGCTTGATCAGTAGAAGTAGAAAATTTAATAATACAGTATTGAAATTCTCAGGCACAATGGAGTCAGCTGCTGAGAACTCTAGTTTGCAAAGTCATTACATTAGAATTTATGGGCCTGTTTCTTTTGTTCTTTTGTGTGTGTGTGTGTGTGTGTGTGTGTGTGTGTATATATATATATATATATATAAAAACTTAAATATGAGTCAAGAGTGACATCCAGTGGCCAAATATGTTGAATGCTTACAAAAAAACCCCACACATATGGATTATATAGATGTGTGTGTGTGTATTTATTTTTATATATATATATCCGTATGTGTGTGGTTTTCTGTAAGCATCCAACATATTTGGCCACTGGATGTCACTCTTGACTCATATTTAAGTTTATTTAACTGTGTGGTTTTATTTGTATTCAGGAAATGGTTCTTAAAGAAGAATGTCAGAGTTGGGGCTTTATATAGCCCCTTTCACTGTTATGGTTTTTTATACTAGTTTTGTATTTGCTAATACGCTTTCTGAATATACCGAGGTACAGATACAGCCACTTGTCTTCATGGCAAATCAAGCAAATTCCCATACCATCGCTAGCTGCTCCAAATTGTCTTGTGGTCACATGGGTGACCAATAGACAGAAGCACCTACGTTTTGTTAAGGATGAACTTTATCCTTATTGGTCTGTGAAGACTCTTGCTGAGTGGCACTGGGTGAAAGTAAGTTATGAATCTCTTTGCTTTTGGTGGGTGGGCCATGCAACATGGTGCTTTTCTGCATATTTCAGTAATTTCTCTGTCCCTTAGTATTTTTTGTATTTAAAGGTCATTACTACTTCACTGGGATGCAGTAATTTTATATCTTCATTATGTATTGGGCGGGGGGGGAGATTAATAATAACTAATACAAAAATGTAGCTGTTGTATACCAAGTCACATGCAAAATTTATTTCTCATTTCTTTTTGTCAGATTACCAGATCTGGAGAATTTGTATTTCCATTAGATTCTTCCCACAAAAAACCCTATGAAGTTCTTGTGTTGGGGAGAGTTCAAGGAAGTATAAATTTGCCATTAAGGTAGGAGAGACTATTTTTAGTAAGTATTTTTCTAAGTGGTTGTTCTTTTTGCATGTGTCATTCTTATATAAGCTATATAATAAGCTTCCAGGGTTGTCATTGTGTGTCACTCTGGAGCCTAGAATCTCTGTTTAGTCAGTGTGAAGCGATGGAAACATACAGCTATAAGCATGTCTGAGAGCTCTTTTTGTTCAGAATATCACCAGGTTTAATCATCAGTAGGATTTGTGATGTGTTACAATCCAGTTTTTAAGTTCTTAGTCATTTTGACTTTACAAATTACACTTGTGGTACTGTACCTGTACGCTAAGGCATGTATCTATGCCATGCCAGTCACTTTTTGCCCCTCACCTGGTGCATACTGCACCTAAAACTGGCAAAGCCGCCCTTGGGAATATCATCCCAATGAAAGGGGAATTCTCCAGTGGCACAGAGTGACCAAAGCAACTCGTGTCTCTCCCTGCTGCCTGTGTATGGAGCATGGCTCTGGGAAAGGGGACATGGCTAGGGCTTCCCTTTGCTGGCACTTCCCAGCTGCAGTCCTACCTGCTTGGGGCTGTTGGCTGCCATTAGAAGTTAGAGCAGTCCTTTGTCTGTTCTCTCTCTTACTGGGGGACCAGTCCAATGAACAGGTGGCCCAGAATCAGGAGGGGAAAAAACGTGGGTGGGATTGTGCTGTGCATTCTTCACCATAGCAGGGGTCTGTGTGTATGTATTTATGTAGGCACATAATGTAGGGGTGTGGTTTGGGTTCTTTTGGTTAAAGTAGGTGATATTCTACTGTTGAAAAGTGACAGAATTATCGATTAGTTTGGATATTTTTCCCCTCTTGTTTCATCCCTTTATTACCTATATTTTCTCCAAAGCCTCCGAAATTTCATAAATTGCCCTTTATCTTTCAGGAAAATAAATATACTCAACATTTAGATATTTAGCTTCCCCAAGGCTTACGGTGAAGTCTGATAGTGAACGAGTACTCTGTATTTTTTATATCCCATTTGAAACAAAACCCTATGAAAACGCGTACCTGTATCACAGTATTGATTGAGAAATCTCATTTATTTTCTTCTGATTTTATACAACAGGAAATCAGATGTGGAAGTACTTCCAATTCCAGACCACAAATTAATTGTCAGCGTACCCTGCACTCTTCATTCACACAAACCTCCTCTTACTGGTATGTTCTTTGAACATCTCTCTACAATATAGTGTTTGTATTGACCAAGCTTTTTCAAACTTGAGTGTCTGAAGCTAGGCACCTAAATCCATATGTAGGTGCCAAATAAGTAGCCTGATTTTTCAGAGATGCCAAGCAATTGCAGTCAATAGGAATGACAAGTGTTCAACATCTCTGAAAATCCTGCCACTTTTAGTTCCTTAAATATGGGTGTTAGGCACCAAAGTTTGGGCATCTCCGTTAGAAATTTTTGGCAGAGGTCTTAAATAAAAAAAAAAGTTGCATTTGCTTTATAGTTTATAACTACTTCAAAATTGCTCTGTTCCTGTATTCTGTGTAAAAGAGTGCCAGTTGACCTGAGTTCTTTCCTTTAGTGTGGTGAGCAGCATTTCCCTGGCTGGGAATACATAAAATAGACTGTCTGTTGTTTACTTAATTAAAACCACCAGTCTCTTCTTTCTGGGACACCTAATTGTAGAAGAGATTTAATGTATAGAATATGCACATATAGCACAAAACCTTGGGTATGTTTTATCTTTTTAAAACCACAAATTTAATAAAATAACTTTTAACAAACTGACAATATACCTCTACCTCAATATAACGCTGTCCTCGGGAGCCAAAATTTTTTACCGCGTTGTAGGTGAAACCGCATTATATCGAACTTGCTTTGATCCACCGGAGTGCACAGCCCCGCCCCCCCGCCGGAGCACTGCTTTACCGCATTATATCCGAATTCCTGTTATCTCGGGTCATGTTATATCGAGGTAGAGTTGTAATTGACAGCAAGTAGACCATACCCATGTTAATTACCAATATCCATTATACATTACAGGAGTTGAACTCCAACCAATCAGTTAGACAAAAGGTGCCTCCCATCCAAGCCCTTGCTCATGCTAGGTCTGAAGAATCTCATCACCTTTGCACAATGCCATGAGGGTCTGCAAACTGGGGCTCTGGCGGATCAATGATGAATTTTCAAATCAAGAGTGGATGTTTTTCAAAAAGATATGCTCTAGGAATTTATTTTTTGGAAGTTCTATGGCCTGTGTTATATAGGCGGTCAGACAAAGTGTTGGAAGTATTATTTATGCAGGATATTTCCATGACACCAATGTAACCATAAATTCATTTATTAAAACGAAAAGGTCAAATGCTATTTATAATTGCTCTAAACATGCCTAAATAATAAGCAATTTAGTACATCCAAACAGTAACAAAACACTTCTAAGCATTTGATCAAGATACTTATAAATGGGCTAACCTCCAGGAGTGCTTAGACCGATATTGGTTGTCTTCAGTTTGGTCAGGCAGGTATTAGCAGTGAACCCTTTAAGAGTTGACTTTATACTATTGTTTAACAAACAAGCGATGTCATTGCCAATTATCAGACCTCAGTTAAGGCCAGATGAAGCGGTTTCTTATATAGCAAATTACTTACTGCACCTGGTATCCAATTAACTGTATTTTATTTCTGTTACTTCAGCCCATACTTTAAGATAACACTGATATTTTGAAGGGTCATTACAAGTTTAACACAACAACTCTTCTTTCGCATGAACTCATTCTTTTTGGTCACATGCTTTGGGCCCATTGCTCATGCTAATATCTCAATTTAATTCAAAACTGTAGTTCACCCAAATCTAATGTGGACCTATATTACTGTACTAAGTGATCACAGTGGCCCTTCTGGCCTTGGAATTTATGAACTTATAGATTATATCATTGAAATATGCTATACTTGAAGACTCGTCATGTTCCATCTGCTGCAGGAGGTGCCAGTAACCACAGGGAACCTGTTAGTTCAGTGGCCAGAGAAGGAGTCTAAATCCATATTAGGTTTTGGGTGTAAATCCAGGTACTGATGGATTTTATAAAGCTCTAACTGGTTTGGGTCTTGGCTGTTGGAAAGACTGTGTCTCTCACCTTAAACCACCATAAATGAGATCAGTTTGAGTTAAATCACTGGATTTAAATGTGGTGAGAACTTGGTGACAAGGTGTGCAAAGTAGAAGTCTTTCAACTTTAATTTAGCCCACCCTTCTCTCCATACACACTTCTGACAAAATCCTAATTTGATTACTCTTCTATATAGGCAATTATACTGACCTCATTACTGTAGTATCTGAGCAGCTTCCAGTGGTCCATTAAATGATGTGAATAACATTTGTCATGTGTGGTTCATTCTTCAGGTCATCCTCTCCCGAGGGAGAAAATTGTGTGTGCAGTGTAGTGTTAGTTATGGTAGGGTTAAAAATCATATGCATACAATGCTATGTATTTCTGGTGTAGAAGGCAGGTTGAAGAAGTGTGCCTTGCACTTGGAGTGGAAGGTGGTGAGGTTGGAGGTGATTCTTGATTCCGGTGGGAATTTGTTCCACGTTCTTGGACCAGCCCCCAAGCAGCTCTGTCTCCTGCACTGACAAGATTTACTCTTATGGTAGACAGTTGCATTGTGTCTGAGGAGCAGAGTTGTCCATGGCTAGGGTACTAGTCTCAACTCCTTTTGCAGTGTTTATTTTGGAGGGTTTTTTGTTGTTGTTAATAGTGTGTGTTAATATACATGTGTCTGGAGACAAGTAATTGGGCACAGGTTAGTAATCTTAAATATAAGCAAGCTTGAATCCATGACCATCCATCAGCAATGTCCTGCAATGAGCCTTATATTCTAAGTCTTTCTGGTTGATTAACAGGGGTGCCTGGGCTGATCTATATGATTGCAAGGCTCATGGTCACTGAAGCAGCCACGACTCAGACCTCTTAAGACTTTATTGGCCAAACTTGGAAAGACTTTACAGACAAACAGAAATGCAGTCAAGTTGAGTGTATGTAATGTGATAACTTTTGAACGGTGCATCAGATCAATTCCAAAATTTCAGGGAATGATCTAGTTATCAGTGGGCAGAACCCTATTGATTTGGGGGAAAATGGGGTACATATGGAGTTGTTGTCATCTGTTCAGCGAAGCCACAGTTTCAGGTACCTCTGCACTTGTCTGTAGATCAAACAACTTGTTGATGGTACCCCTTAATGCCTTCCATCATAACCTCTGCTCATCCTCCCAATAGAATTTAATGTGTTTGACACCTTGACTGATTTGTCTTCCAGACAGACAGAAAATAAATCATTTCTCTTCCTGATGGGAGCTGTGGTGTAGATGCTCAGCCAGTAGGGGCAGCCAGAGGGAGAGGAGAGAGAAGAAGGCTTCATTCTTCCCTTCTAGTGTCCTGTCTCCACAACTTCTGCTCTGTGGTGGGGAGGGAGGCAGAAGTGTTCCCCTCCCTTCCAGTCCAGGGGGAATAAAGGTACTTTGAACAGACTCCAGGGGAGAGTGACAAAAATAGCAAGATGTATAGAAAAGCTGGCCAAAGACACAAGGTTAAAAAAAGTCTTCAAATATGTTAGGGGCTGGTATAAAGAAGATGTTGATCAATTGTTCTCCATGTCCACTGAAGGTTGGACAAGAAGTAATGGACTTAATCGGAAATAGAGGAGATTTAGGTTAGATTTTAGGAACTATTTTCTAAATCTAAGGGTACGTCTATACCCAGCCGCTAGTTCGGCGGCTGGCAATCGAACGTCTGGGTTCGACTTATCGTGTCTTGTCTGGACGCGATAAGTCAAACCCAGAAGTGCTCGCCGTCGACTGCGGTACTCCAGCTAGACGAGAGGAGTACTGCGGAGTCGACGGGGGAGCCTGCCTGCCGCGTGTGGACCGAGGTAAGATCGAACTAAGGTACTTCGAACTTCAGCTACGTTATTCACGTAGCTGAAGTTGCGTACCTTAGTTCGATTTGGGGGGTTAGTGTAGACCAAGCCTAAGAGTAGTTAAACTCTGGAATAGGTTTCCAAGGGAGGTTGTGGGTTCCCCGTCATTGGAGGTTAAGCACAGGATGGAAAAACACCTGTCAGGGATGGTCTAGATTTACTTGCTGCTGCCTCAGTGCAGGGGGCTGGACTTGGCCTCTCGAGGTCACTTCCAGCCTGACATTGTTATGATTCTATGAGTATGCTTTGAAGGAGGGGAGGGGAGTGTCACAGCCTATGGCATAAGAGGAATGGGTGGGAACAGGACCCATGGTGGGGGGGGGAAGAGAGGAATAGGGGAACAGAACCCCTGGCGTGGTGCTGAGAAAGGGAGATCCTGCTTGGAGGGGTGGGAGATGGAGGGAAGATAGAGACAATGCTGAAGGAGAAATGGGGGGCAGAGACCCTGGCATGGAGAAAGGGGGAAAGGGGAGTGCACAAAGTCCGTAGTATTGCAGGGGGAGAGTGGGCAATCTTGAAATGGGTAGATGCGGGAATCGGGGGAGCAGACAGAACCCCTGAGGGAACAGATGCAACCCCCTCCACTACCAAACCCTCCAGAGGCTTCTCCCTACCCACCAGTTTCTTATTTGGCTTGAACTTCAGCCAACTGTCTTGTTTCTGTGTCGGACATTGGTTAGGCATCCAATTCCATCAAAAATGACTTAGGTCACTGGTGATATTGCATCTCAAAATGTCTGATTTCCCTTATTGCTGGGGTTCTCAAACTGGGGGTTGTGACCCCTCAGGGGGGTCGTGAAGTTATTACATGGGGGTTGTGAGCTCTCAGCCTCCACCTACAAACCCCGCTTCATCTCCAGCATTTATAATAGTGTTTAATATAAAAATTTGTGGTTTTTAATTTATAAGGGGAGGGGGCCGCACTCAGAGGCTTGCTGTGTGAAAGGGCTCACCAGTACAAAAGTTGAGAACCACTGCATTAGTGCCTTATATCAACACTATGCAGGATGGTGGCACTGCTATGTATAGATTGTTCAGGATTCCTGTACTAGAGTGATTTCTTCATACTGTATGTGTCTGATACAAATTATAGAAATGACACTGGTGAATTCCTGTATATGAATTCAAGTCTGAAACTGGCTTAAAAACAAAATATTATACTTTGGGGATTAGCAAAAGTATTTAAAGCCATGGATTTGGCAAAATTAATTAGTCAAGTAAGTATGATTAGAATTCATCTTTCATTTGTGTGCTTCTTGCTTGTCACTCTCATATCTGGTACTAATGCCATTGTAGGCGAGTGGCAGGCACCTTGAGTTGGTAGACTTAATGTACCCCTCACTATGTGTGCACACATCATACATCATTTTGAAAGCTTATTATGTCTACTTTAAGATGAGAGATGATGCAGAGCTGTCAGGTGATGCCATTACCATAGACACAGGAATAAATAGTGACACTATCATCCTATTAAAATGACCATTTTGAAATATTTGCCTTTTTTTGTTAGTGTAATTACTCTATGTATTATTTCAAGACACAAAATTGGATTTCTTTGTGACTTTAAAGCATCACAACAACAATCTAAAGGGTAAAACAAAATCTAATAATAAATTTGTACTGGTATCATTGAAATGCGACTAGTGACATTTCTAGTCAACATCATTATCATCATCTTCCTGACCTCTATTGAGAGTGTGTGGGTTACCACAGTCTTCCTTGCCTAGGCATGTATGCAGTTCTGTGAAGGAAAGATTGTTCTGACTATAGACACACTTAACTGTAGAGCAATGCCTACTGGTACAGGCACAAATAAGGTCTCGCAGAAGCTGAGATGCCATTAGTCCCGTGAAGAATACAGGAAGTAGATCATACACATTTTTCCATATATGCTACAATGGTGATCCAATATGTGGTTTACCTATATGCGAAGACATCCAAATCTTTGTTTGGCAAGATTCTCTTTTGACATGCTATTCAAAACGGTCCTCACATGGGGGAAATTTGACCAGTGACTTTTCCTTTTTGATAAATAGCTTGAGGTGCAAACAATTCAGGTCTCTGTGGGTTTCCTTTTCTTGCTCTGGTCATAGAGCACTGCCTTGCTGCAGAAATTGCAGCTTGTCTGTCAGACTCTCCCAATTTGGCAAGATCTCTGAAATGGTAAGCTCCCTTTGTTTTGACAACATTAAACACAGATTTCCCCCCCTCCCCCCAATACCAAATAGGGATGAGACAGTTATATCTCTTAATGCATGTACAGCAGGAGGTATGTTGCGGAAGTCAGGAGTGAGTGTGCCACAAATTGTGTGCACAAGTATGAAGCAACGCTTGTTAGTTGTGCTTGTAGTGGTGCCTGTTTTAGGCCACATGTTGTTATGTGCATATTCCATTTTTGGAAAGTAGTGAACAGCACAGTCCAAATCAGGTGTGTCAGATGATCTAATTGTTATAGTTCCTTTGAACCCAAGAAACCCGAAAGCCACTCTGGCACATACAGTGTGCAGAAGCATCTTTGTGTCCACTTCCTCTTGAGTACTGTTCAAGTTTTGGGGCTTGTCTTCACTTACCGGTGGATTGATGCTGAGGCTATCGATCCACCGGGGGTCAATTTAGCGGGTTTAGTGAAGACCCGCTAAATTGACTGCAGATCGCTCTCCCGTCAACTCTGGTACTCCACTGGAACAAGAAGAATAAGGGAGAGTGTCTCCCGTCGACATAGCGTAGTGTGGACCCCGCGGTAAGTAGATCTAAGCTACGTCTACTTGAGTTATGCTACGAACGTAACTCAAATTGCGTAGCTTAGATCCATTGGGCTTCTTCAACACATTTAGTGGTGATGGACTTCGTTACTTCACTATTGAAAAAACATCCAGCAAGAAGGAGTATTTGTGCTGGCATACTCCTACACTCTCAGGTGCATTTTGAACCGTATATTCACAAAGAAATTTTACAAGCAATTGCTTCTTGGATGGCATGTTTAAAAACTCTTAACATGGAAGCACAGTGTGTCCACCAATCACCTGGTATTTCTTACATCTAACCTTAGATCCTGTCTGATGCTGTCTTTCTGCAGTTTTCTGTCAAAGACTTCAGTCAGGTCCTAAAAGCTAATTCTGTACCTGAAGTACTCAGCACCCAGTTCATCAAATGTGTGGAATTTGTGTCCAGCCATCATTTGTATGACAGCCATGGCATCTCTGCTATACACTGTGGTTTCTTTGTTGCATGCTCTTAGCTCATGGATTCTTTCAGCTTCAGCTTCCAGTTGATGCCCTAATTCAGCTTTGTCTGTGCTTCTTACTGTTACATCAGCATGTAAGAGGGACATAGGCTCAGGTACCCAGGGGAGACTAAGAATAGTTGGTATTGAAACATCATCTCTGTATCTTGCTAAGGATTGGGCTCTGCGGAAAACAATTTCAAGACTGATAGCTGCTGTGATTGTCCCTCCCTTGCCAAACTTAAATTTGATCTTTTTCGTCATGTCAGCAAATGTTTTAATGGTAGATTTCTTGACTGGGCTGAAGAAGCTACAGGTCCCATGAAAATCAAGTGCACCTCTCACAGATCTTTCAATTTGTTTTTCACTAGCATCTGCTATTTTCAGTTGAGAACCTTGTATGTGCTCTTCATCTCCAGTGCAGAGGCAAGGACTTGTTTGTGGACTTTGTCTTCACTACTTCATTAGGCCACTGCTTTCTCTCATAGCTTTTGCATTTTCATAATATGAAGCTGTATATTATTATCTCTAACACTGACTTGTGCATGTCACTGAATTAAAAAGCTAGTTTCTAGAATATTTAAAAGGTTAGTACTGCATGCATAGGCAATTACAAATTAAAACCTTCTACCAGACAGACTAGAGCAGTAGTCCCCAACGCGGTGCCCATGGGCACTATGGCACCCACTGGGGCATTTATGTGCACCCGCCTAGTGCCCAACAGGGGAGAGAAGCCACGGCCCCGCGCCTGATGGGGACAGAGAACTCAGGCTGCGGGCACGGTGTTCTCGGTCTCTGCCAGGCGCAGGGCCACAGCTAAAGCCAGAGAGAAGTCGCGGCTCCGCGCCTGCCGAGGACCGAGAACTCCGTGGCTACAGGCTGCGGGTGCTGGTGTTCTCGGTCCCCGGCAGGCGCGGGGCCTGCCTAGTGCCCAGCAGGGGAGAGAAGCTGGGGCCCCACGCCTGCTGGGGACAGAGTACTCCGGGGCTGCGGGCGCCGGTGTTCTTTATCCTCGCGGCTTCTCTCCTCTCTCTGGATTTATATATTATGTAATATTAAATGTGATGTTTTTCATATTATTTAATGTACAAATAAAAATAAACCTTGAAAA